ATGACTCCTAGGTGTTTGTGGTTTTTAACAATAGGGATAGGTGTGTTGTCGAAAAGAAATTGTGGGTTAGAAGGTATATTTGTGTTGGAAATTAAGAGAATTTCGGTTTTATTTGGGTTGAAATTCATTAACCATTTATTTGACCAAAGGTTTAATTGTTCCATGTCGTAGTTTATTACTTGTTTTATATCGTGTAAATTTTTGGAAGAGTGTGCTAATGCGGTGTCGTCAGCTAAAAGTCTAGTCATTGATAGTAGTGTATTTGAAATATCGTTGATGTATACAAGAAAAAGAAGTGGCCCTAACACTGAACGTTGAGGAACTCCGGCTTTGATAGATACATCAGAAGATATAGCATTTTAGTACCACTGACTGGCGTCTGTTACTTAAGTAGTTTTTAATCCAATCTAAAAGTTTGCCTTTTATCCCGTATTTTTCTAATTTAATTAATAGACCATTGTGCCAGACTCGGTCGAAAGCTTTAGAAAAGTCACAAAAAACAAGAGCAGTATATTCACGATTCTCCAGTGCTGTAAGTAGGTATAGGACCTACAGCTGATCGACAGGTAAAACGAAAGCAAAAGTAGGACCACAAGTAGTTGAAGAGTGGTTTCCCTTAGTTTCATCCGGGCAAGTAATATGGCTGCCTCCATATGTGGTTGACGTTGGCACAACTGTCATCGACCGAAGTGACTGACAGAGATTGATTTATTCATAACTCAGGTTTAAGGTATTGCGCAATCATTTCTTTACTTTGTAATGACATTTCCTTTCATATACAGATATTTGCCTTACCTGTAGCGACACATTACCTCTGACATGACAACCGATCATGGATCAGTGACCAATTGTCGTTTATTATATGAACAAAACACAAGCGATTTCTAGTCTTAAATATATAATCCATACCTGGTCACTTGACAATAGACCCAGTACCATGGCCACCTTCCATGGATATATTGCATTGAGAAGTGAATGTAAGAGGTAAAAATCTAACAGCCAGTCTGTCCAGCTGAGCTAACCAGTCAGTAGGATTGCCCCGTCCTAGTTCATATACAGCTGGTGCATATTTCTACCACTCAGTTAGATGTGCTGGATATATATAGTTTCTTTGGAATTATTCCGGCATGTGCAGTATACATTGGCATGTTATAGTTAGTAATTCAACTACCGGTAATGTTCTTAACTTTTCTGTAGCTGTTCGACATAAGAACTTAGATTGATTATAGTAAATCAGTCACAATTTAGCTTGTCAAACACCTGTGTGTAAAGTTTGAACAAGTGTATATAAGAATGTGTATAAAAAGAAAGTATGTGTACATGTATATAACTAAGAGTTAACATTACATTAATCTGGATTTTTCCCATCCTTGTGAAAAAGGATGATTGCAAACACTCTGAAAAGTACCTTTGCTATACCTCCATATTTAGCGAATAACCTCAACTAAATCCAATTTACTATTTTTCTGAGTGGCCTACCACTACTATTGCTTCATTAAGAGTTATACATGTATACTGTTTATGGCATAGTGTTGACATTTAGCCATGCACCTGTGCTTATGTCTACTATAGTAAGCTGATGGTTGCATGGATCAGATGAGATTAACAAATACATATAATGTAATGTGTACAATATATATAAAATCTGCATTTATATTTTTCAGATGTATACATTACTGTCGGGTCTGTGGAAATACATGTTTCAAAAAGATGAATATAATGTTTCAATTTTGGGACTTGACAATGCAGGAAAAAGTGTAAGTTGGAAAAAGAAAGTGAAGCAGTTTGAGCTTACTGTATCTCACTCCTGGTGCAAATAAATCCAGTGAACGTCTGTGATAAATCATCGTTTATTAATTCTTAGGGCCATGATGTTCAAAAATTTGTTTCCTTTGGTGAAGGGGTTTCAGATTTGTTAAAATAAGTGACATTGACCTAATTTTAATGTCATAAGGGAAATTTATAAATAAACCCACTTAGCTTCAGCTTAACAATGAGGCCAGGATCAGTCAGAATATTTTGTCAGTATATCACTAAAAATTATTAAAGTCACAGCTGGTGCTGGCTATGAGGCTCTTGGGCATTGGATTAAAAATGGAAGTAGTTGAAGATATAATTATACATTACAAATATGAGATAAATGTATTGTACACATCATTATCACTAGATTTAATGTTATTGATATAAAACCACTCAAGGAAAAGTCTAGGCCTTCAAGATGATGAATACATAAATTTAACATTTAGTGTCTTTAAGAAGATTGTTGTCACAAAATAAATAAAACAATGTATTTAATAGAAAGTAATAGAAATAAGTTGAATATATATTATAAATAATAATGTTTTCCTATTTAACAGACATACTTGGAGCAAACAAAGACAAAGTTCACCAAAAATTACAAAGGACTGTCTTTGTCTAAAATCACAACAACAGTGGGTCTCAATAGTGAGTGATTTTTCTTGTCCTTTTTTTCTGTTTACGTTTTTGTATTTAATATATGATACAAAACACAATAAGCATGAAAAGTTAATGGATAAGCTTAAAAATATTAATAGAGTCTATCATAAGGAGATATGTGGAATATATATGGATATCTTCCCAAGGGTGTAGAATTTGGGTCAGAACCAAGTCTTGTTTGATCAGATGAAGCCTGTATTATATGTTGGCAGTGCTGCACAAAATGTAATATTTTAAGTACACATACAGGTAGTTCATTACATTTATTAAATTTTATAAGTACATGTATACAAAACTTAGTTATTCAAGCCGAAATATTTCCATGTACCATGTAATATGTATTGATATTATATTTAAGTATGTTTTTATACTTTTGTTACAGTTGGAAAAATCGATATTGGTCATGTTCGTCTGAACTTCTGGGACTTGGGTGGACAAGAGGAGTTACAGTCATTGTGGGATAAGGTATACAAATAACTTTGGTTTGTGTTTTGTCCTAAAAGATGCAGGAAGGCTTTTCTGCCCCAGAATCCATTAAACCAACATCTGAGACACAATTTCAATCTTTTATTTTTTGTAAATAATTCACTGTTATTAAGGAGATATGATATCAAATGAAAATTTGTGTTCCAATGATTTTAGAACATTCACATATACCTACAGTGCTAAATAACACTGTTTATGCAGTTGAAGATTGAATAGGGTTCTCAATAAAAAAAATAACAGAAGAGGAGGGAGGGGCACTTATAATTATATTCCTGAAATTTCCACCTTGCAAGATTAGTCTTCTGAATGTTTTGAAGGGATTAATTAATATATTTAATATGAATGTGTTTGAAGGGGGGTTACAGAATCTGGCTAAAATGAATCTACAATAACTTTGTCATTATTTTACCCTTTTACCTTTACTTTTGCTAAACTTTCCATATCTGTGTTGACCATCATTTACCCCAGTACATTTATAATATGTGTTTTTCAGTACTATGCAGAGTCACATGCTGTAATCTATATTATTGACTCCTCCGACCTTGAAAGAATTGATGAATCTAAAGAAGCCTTCGGTGAGTGATTCGTGGGATACATGTAGTCACAACAGTGTTTGAGTTGAGTGGTTTGTGAGATACAGTCACAACAGTGTTTGAGTTGAGGGGTTTGTGAGATACAGTCACAACAGTGTTTGAGCTGAGGGATTCGTGGGATACAGTCACAACAGTGTACGTTTGAGTTGAGTGGTTTGTGAAATACAGTCACAACAGTGTTTGAGTTGAGTGATTCGTGGGGTACAGTCACAACAGTGTACGTTTGAGTTGAGTGGGTTGTGAGATACAGTCACAACAGTGTTTGAGCTGAGGGATTCGTGGGATACAGTCACAACAGTGTACGTTTGAGTTGAGTGGTTTGTGAAATACAGTCACAACAGTGTTTGAGTTGAGTGGTTCGTGGGATACAGTCACAACAGTGGTTGAGTTGAGTGGTTCGAGGGATACAGTCACAACAGTGTTTGAGTTGTGTGGTTTGTGAGATACAGTCACAACAGTGTTTGAGCTGAGGGATTCGTGGGATACAGTCACAACAGTGTACGGTTGAGTTGAGTGGTTTGGGAGATACAGTCACAACAGTGTTTGAGTTGAGTGATTCCTGGGATACAGTCACAACAGTGTACGTTTGGGTTGAGTGGTTTGTGAGATACAGTCACAACTGTGTTTGAGTTGAGTGATTCGTGGGATACATGTAGTCACAGCCGTGTTTGAGTTGAGTGATTCGTGGGATACATGTAGTCACAGCAGTGTTTGAGTTGAGTGATTCATGGGATACATGTAGTCACAACAGTGTTTGAGTTGAGTGATTCGTGCGATACATGTAGTCACAACAGTGTTTGAGTTGAGTGATTCCTGGGATACAGTCACAACAGTGTACGTTTGAGTTGAGTGATTCATGGGATACAGTCACAACAGTGTTTGAGTTGAGTGGTTCGTGGGATACAGTCACAACAGTGTTTGAGTTGAGTGGTTCGAGGGATACAGTCACAACAGTGTTTGAGTTGAGTGGTTTGTGAGATACAGTCACAACAGTGTTTGAGTTGAGTGGTTCGTGGGATACAGTCACAACAGTGTTTGAGTTGAGTGATTCGTGAGATACAGTCACAACAGTGTTTGAGTTGAGTGATTCGTGAGTAGATTTCAGAGTTCCCAGACTTAAATCATTGTCTGTACCATTACATTTTAGTAATCCTGTTACATATAGCCTAGATATACACAAGGTAGTTAAAGATCCTGTGGGTCTTCAGATTAGCAGAATCAAATTGAAGTGCTCTTCACTGACCAGGCACTCATCCCCTTTTAAAAACAACGAGTTAAGACAATAAGACATTCTCGATACTCCAGGGGTTACAATCACTTATGCTTTCTGCACCACTGGAAATGTCATGCTAAAATTGAAGGCAAAAAGTAGCTTCTGGTATTTGATTGGTCTTAGGTAAAAAGTCCTGACCAATAACTACATGTATGCTGTTATCTGTCCTTTAAATATTACAGAGGAGCAACACCTGACTTCAAAGCCTGTCTATTTTACCGATACACTTCCTTGTGATTATTTTGATGTACATCAAAGGATACGACTAGACTACTTGTATCTTACACAAGGTGGCGCACACTGCACCTTTGGTTTTGTCATGACATATTCCAGGGGTGCAGAGAGCAAAAGTGACCATAACCCTTGGAGTATCGATGATGACCAGGTGCTGAGCATTTACAGTAACTCATTTGATTAGAGCACCACTCCAGATTTTTGAGCTCATTCATAAGCTTGCTAATATTACACAAATTGTTGTTCTTATAAATTATGTATATATACCGAAGTCACCTAAATTTACCTTGACTTACAAAGGGTCTCAGTTTAAGTCTGTTGGTCATATGATATGAATATTTTATATTTCTTAGTCATTTAAAGGTCAAATTCTGTAATCACTGACTTTATGTTTTTGTTTTCCTTTTTTTCCCCCCAGATAAAATGGTGATCAACGATGCCCTAAAAGAAGTGCCAATACTTGTTCTGGCAAATAAGCAGGATTTGGAAGTATGTAACGTATTATATACTGTTTCTACCGTTGTCATTTACCCAATAGCACCTAATTATTTCCATCTATTTCTCTAGATTTTGACACAACAGATGTAATTTTGATGTATTTGATATCGGTCATAACCTTTGTCTACAGTGCAATTAAATCAATAACAGTAACTATTAATTATCAGTGTTCTACATTTCTAAGTAGTTTTAACGCTTAGTTTATCAATAAATGGAACTTTTTCTATAGCTTCTTGTGGAGCATATTTGCTGCTGAACATTCTATGCAAGACATTTAAATGTTCAAATATTGGTGTCTGCAAATATTGATATCATTTTTAGGTCACCTGCTATCCGTCTTCGTCCGTCGTCCGTTAACATTTTACATTTTCAACTTAAGCTGAAATACTGGCAAAGGGATTTCATTTATATTTCATGGGAAGGTTACTGACATCTCCCTGACCAAGTGTTGTTATTTTTCGGGTCGATCAGAAATCCAATATGGCCGCCATTTTGAAAAACTATTTCAAACTTAAAGTCAAGTTCTGCTAGGCCTATTGAACTGAAACTTTGTAGGAATGATCGACTCATGGTTCTGACAACGTGTTGTTAATTTGCGGGTCTATCAGAAATTCAATATGGCTGACACGGCCGCCATTTTGTAAAACTATTTCAAACTTAAAGTCAAGTTATGCTTGGCCGATTGAACTGAAACTTTGTAGGAATGATCGACTCAAGGTCCTGACGAAGTGTTGCTATTTTAAAAATACCTATTTCAAACTTAAAAACAAGTTCTAATAGGCCGATCTAACTGAAAATCGGTCTAGGAAAGATCAGCTCAAAGTCCTGACAAACTTAAGTTTACGTGATATTTCAACAACAAAAATAAATACTGTAGGACTCAGGTGACCGCTAAGGCCCATGGGCCTCTTGTTGGATTTGAAGTGAATGCCAGAGTTTGTTACCAGTATGTGGTGTAAAATACAGTTTTTAATGTTAGATTTGTTTTCTTGATATCTAAAAGTTTGCCAGGTCTTATGTTTATATGACTTTTACACCTTTGACCAATGAGAAATTTTACTTAGATAGTTGGGTTTGTATTAGATGTACACTCCCTTGTATGTATTCTTTATGTATTCGTAAGTTAGTTTTGTTCATTGACAGGGCTGTATGCGGGTGATAGAGGTGAAAAAAGTGTTCAACACAAGTGCTCCGCTCATTGGTCACAGAGACTGTAAAATGCTGGGCACATCGGCCCTCAAAGGGTAAGTGCCGTTTTAATTATTTATGACACAAAACTTTAAATCTTTAAATGAAATTTATCTTTTATTTTCACCCTGTTGATTATTTCAGTATCATACATGCGTTGCTTCAGTGTTGTACTTGTCATGATATGTACTGTATTGTGAGTGGTATCTGTATGCAAATTCTAGAATAGCTGTTCCCTATTTTGCAATCAGATCACTTGACAAAAATGCTTTATAAGTAAACTCACTAGTCTAGTTGTGGTATTGCTACAAATCACTGGAATAATATGAACAGGCAACAAGCATTTATAAAAAGAGATGACTGCAGTATTAATCTCACTGTTAGTTTGAATTCTCTGATATTGAAATCGGCGGATACCCACGGCTGATTTCGCTTCGCTACTCACTCATGCGAGTCCTGAAGCGAAATCAACCGTGGGTATCCAGCGATGTCTTATTATAGGCCTCCTGTCTTTACGTAATTAAGAATAGGCCTGTATCTATGGTACATCTAATAATATTATAAAATTTATCTTAAACTCGGACTTTACTATCTGTTGTAGTGATGGAGTACATGAAGGTATTGAGTGGCTGACCGATTGTATCAAAAGGAACTCTATGAACAGGCCTCCGCTTCAAAGAGATATAACTTGATCACATTGTTTTAACACAATGTCATGACAGCATGTACAGACATCAGCCATATAGGTCACTACTCCCACAAAATCGCTGTGATCATGTGAGCGAATTGACTAACAGGAAATGAGGCAAACATGATGGAGCCTTCCTGGTTTCAATGTCTCGCAAGGAATTTATCAAGTTTCACGATTCATTTAGAGGTGGGATGAGTCGTATCATAAAGCTTGGGTTGTTTATTTATTTGTACTATAGTGTATTCTGGTGCTATTTGTACAGTTTTTTGAAGCTTTGAACGAAAGGGGAGATAACTGCGGCTGAATCAAGTCTCGTGTGTCACTCTTCTGTCTTTATTTATAGACAAATCTTGATGAAACATAAGGCATGTACAAATTAAACTCAACAATTTTGAATTTCAGAATTGTATATTATTTTTTAAGCATAATTTTTGCTTATTGTTCATTTTTTCATACAAAAGTTTTCCACAAAAGGACAAATGTAAAATTGAATCAAGATTATTGTAACAGATAACTTAAGTAGAACTGATTTCTATTGTCAAATTTACATTAAAGAACATGAATGTAACATACTCACAGGAGCAGGTCAGTTCTTATGGTCACCGTAAACCGTTCTCAACCAGAACTCATCGAGTGTAGGAAATCAGTTCCCCAGATCTAGAATCCTCCGGGGAGAAAGAAGTTTTTTAAGAGTAAGTCTATTTCTTAAAATGTTATTTATCATTCAATTCACATCAAATAGTAGTCCTTATTTTTCATCTTAATTGTATCCTGAAGTGGTTTTGTATGTTACTTGTGAATGTAAACCTTTTTTGCTGTAAATATATTGAATTTTACTTCATATGCCTTTCTCAATGTTCAAGTAAAGAGTATTTGTGTTACATTTACATATAAATTATACAATTTACCTACATTTATTTGTTTCTTGTACATGGGACCATAAGTTTCTTGCATTAGAAAATATAAACAAAAGAATACTTTGTATTCAGTATATTTCATGTGTAATTGTTAACAGTATACATTTTTATATAGTTTATTTAAGCAGTGGGCTTCCATCAAAATATTGACTTGCCAAAGTAGAACACTGATGAAGTACCGATATCTACTTGAAAACATATCAATTCTAAAAAATGAAAATTGAAATATGGGTTCAAAGATTGTTTGATTTCCAAGTTTTAAAAACCTTTTGGCATTTTTTCTATAGAACATGAGGTTAATGATTTGAAACAAGGCAATCATTTGTGGGCTCACCATAGACCTGACACCTCTTTGTGGCATTGGGCTGAAAGCGTTGTGTATTGGCATAGCTATTTTATATGATTTCATCAGATATCAAGTAGTAATCCATTGTATGGTCACCATGGTGTAGTAATGTGGTACACGTACATGTATTTGCAATCCTCACCAAATAGGGACAATACATGTGTAGTCTTTACCAGATCGGTAATACAATGCTTCAGAATTTCATACATGCACATGCGTTAGTCATTTTCCAACAAACCATGCATGTTCCTTAATTTAATTATTTAGATGATCTAGGTCATATTGCCCTATAGGCACTGAATAATATATGACAGTACCGTATCTATCTGGTTATAAGCCCACCCATACATATTGCAGTTCAGTAGAAATGCTTACAAATTATATTTATCATTGTCCTCCCCACCTCCTTACTTTGAGGCAGAGTTTATATGTAACACCCCTGGGCATTTCGGAGGATAAATACAGTATATAGTCAACGTATGTTTGTCTATTGTGGTGAAATATTGAACTTGGGGGCTTAAAATACTAGAAAAAATAATCAACTCGGGCCAAGTCTGCTATTTTTCTATAATTTCCTCATCTTCATTATATATTCGATTGTATTTCCACCATATTGATTATTTCTTAGACAATAATTATAAGTTTATCAGTGGTCATCTATAAAATACAATCTTGGTTGTTTTGATCTGTATATAGTTTCTGTTACTGCCTCTTAGAGAACTGCTGTGTTATAATTATGTGACAGCATCTATTCTTTCTACTTTAATATATCTAGTGTTTGAACTTTTTTTGAAATAAAATATTGTGGAAGTTTTTAATTCACAGTATCATGTACTGTATTCAAATTTGGGACTTATGAATGATTCTAAACAACCTTGAGATCAGTGTATAAATTTGAAGAAAAACGTCACTTTTACATCATAAGAAAATTATTGTATACATGTCAGTATTATGTGTTCAGATATAAATTGCTGTGAAAGCCTTATGAAAGAAATAATATTGTATTTGTTCCTTGATAATAAAGGAAATATTATTACATTGTATTTATTCTGTGTACCATGTGTTTCGGATGTAGTTCGTATGATAAAATTTATTTAAGTCGAAGTGGAAGTAATTTGTTTTATGATTTAAAATATTTACGCCAAATGTTCAAAGTACAGCATACTCCTTTTAAGTAGCCTAAGATGTTGAAATCCAATAGTTTGGGCCAGTCAGAAGTTGACATAATAAATCTCATATCTTGTCAGATATTGTAGCAATATCTAATTATCCAATCAATAAACAGTTATCATATAATTATATCTGCTGTCTGTAAGCGCAACCGTGTATGGTGTTGGCAGGTCATTCACACGGTACATTCAGTGTTGTCTTTATGCCAAAGTTTATACATATTATGTTCTATTGGCTTGTCAGCACATCGAATGTCACCTTCATGAGGTATTTTGAAGCCTTCCATCTTCTAGATATTATCCATGATAGTTGATGATGTCCAACGCCTTCCCAGTGCAGGGGTCCACTATACGTATACCATGTTGTCTAGTACTGAGAGCTCGTTCCTATACCTAGTTTATTCCTTAACTGCTCTGACCTCTGCCGTAGTCAAGTGCCTGTGTCCTACCTATTACTGCTAGCCAATCTAGGTTTTGTTCCCAGCCCTAGATGCCCTTATTCCAGTCCCTACAATCTCCACTTTACCGCTCGTTTTGTATCCCATTCCTGGCCTGTTCATATTGAACTCGACTCCGGCTCCCTGGACCTTGTCGTCAATAGTGTTCCTCAACCTGATCACCTGCCAAACCAGTTACACTGTATGTCTCTGTCACTGACTAAGGTGGCTGCTGTATTTTCAGTTTCGCTGCTGCTTGTTCGAAGTAAGCTCGACAATTATTACCAGTATCCACTGATCCTCCTCCGCTGAAGTAAGCTAGGGTGGTTTGGTGCCGTAGTGAATAACTCGCTTACACTGTACGAAGTCCACTAGGTTCAATTCCCCGATCAGACATGAAAGGTATTGGATCACCTGCCCGACCACGTGGGTTTTCTCCGGTTACCTCCCCCTGAACGCTAACACTTAGACCTAAAAGACTTATTACTGGGTAATATAAGTTGATATAACTTATTCCATAATTGTTGTAAAGTATTAAAGTTTATATTTAAGATGAGCAATTGCAACAAGAATGTTCAGGTCTTGAATTTCTTGAGAGCCCAAAACTGCTTTCATCCACTCCTATGTCCAATTTCTTCATCTTTATGAAACGGTTCCTATAATTCAAGAAGTTGTCAAATCGCTTAAGACTCTATATACTACCCATGGTTGGTACAGTATTTCATCTCTGCAGATCTTAAAATGTAAAAAAAAATCCTTCACCTTGCCTGTCTTAGAAACGAGACTTTAATTTACGTTTTGGCCTGTTTAACATGTGCCGGTCAAGTCATCGCCTCTCAGTCTTTAAAGGTGTTACATCTTTTTTTTGATGTCACCCTTATGTTTTCATAAAATATGTTATGTTGACGGATTCAACAACCATATCTATAGCAGCTGCTCTGACTCACATACATTGTGGATCTGGTGACTGACTATCCAGTATCTCCTCACCCATATTATAGGGAGGAAAGGAAGGCGATACAGCAGTGCTCTGGCTCGACCTGTCGAATGCCTGTTGGTCTTTCTACACAAGTTGGCAGGGACTGGAGGTGAGAATAGTCACTTCATCCACATTAGATGTAATAGTGTTTGCAGAGCTGCTATATAAACCTGGTTAATGCATTGATATGCTCCACACATCCTGACAGTATATGAATGTACTGTTGTGTATTCCCGAAAGCATGACCTTCCTTTCCTTTACTCGAAGTAAGGCGTCATTCTTGAACTCTCATGCCCAACCCTACACTGATTTTGCACTCATAGGATTTCAGTCGGAGGTAGGCTCCTAGCTAGGTTATGACAAGTTGACCATTCAGAACTAAGCATGCTTGATAACCAATTTAACCCTTCCTATACACTTCATAACCTCCGAAAAACGAAATACTAGCTTATCACGCTACTGTTTTACTATCTTTTCGAATGCCCATTAATGATAAGGATACAGATCTTTACCTCGCTTGTATTGGATTCCGAAATTTTACCAGAATCCATATCTTGTTACTCAACCAAGACAATATGAAAACATTTTTGTACCATTATTAGTACCACTTAATTAGGGTTAGAGTCGTAGTGTGACTTTCTATACACGATAAGTGAAATAAACAGATTGTGAGTTTTGAAGAATTCAAAAGAACAGTTGATCAATCTAGATCACCCTCTTCTCAAAATCCAGAGGTACATAGGGCCTGTCGCTCACTTGGATAATAAAGCAACCATGGGAAATTATTCTTATTACATTGAATCTCTCCAATGGTACAGTCTGAAAAATATATATACAGGGGACGAAGTTGTGAGAATAATTGAGCGACTGTTGACAGTGTCTATGTTAAGTTCGGTGGAAAGACTTTCTACGAGTATGCTGACTCTAGGCATTCCTATGGGAAGAAATTGCGCCTCCTCTGGCCGACTGTTTAGTTTTCATACGAGGCTTAATTTATTGATAAGCAATCAAGACGAAAAAAAATCCTAGCCAAGTCCTTTAATATTACATTCAGATTTATCGACGATTTATCGTCTTTACATAAGAACTTCATTTGCTGCGTCATTTTTTATAAACCATACCGCTTGAAATTAAGGACACAACAGGCTCTTTCTTGATCTTTACTCATTACATGATCTAAAGGGACCTCTTACAACTACGCTGTACGAAAAGCAGGATCATTTTGAATTTCCGATTATGAACTTTCTCTTTTTTGACAGTAATTTCCCTACCACCCCATGTTGCTGTTGATTCGGTCGATATTCAAAAGTTCGCTGAGTGTTATGGTCGCTTTCACAATCTAATAGGGAAATATGCTATTTCTTTGTGTGATATGCTGGTCGATGTTGTTGATTATGCTTATCAGTAACGTTTTTCTGTCACTATTCTTGTTCTCGCTTTGTGGATGTTACATTTCTTTGATTTGACCTAAATGTACTGCGTGTTATTGATGTAGCAGAAGCCGCTTACCCTTCCGGAACACCTGGTCTAAAAAAACTCCTGCTTAAATCCTCACACTTAAATCATTACAACTCATTGATATATTACTTTGTATATTAAATCATAAAAAGCAACTGGTATAGCTATCAATTGATTTTAATTAAACTTTAAACTGTTGTCGTTAAACAAAAAGAATACACATTTATCAGCCAATTGTTCAAGTGCCTACACACGATTTGAATCCCAGCTACTGCCTTGGACGGAGCTTCTCCTGTTCTTGGATCGCTGTACGCTTTCCCAACATATTTTTTCCGGCAGTCCAACCTTTAAAACCCCTTTGCTCCAGAAGAACCTCTTCACGAATTGCAATGGTCAAAGCAATATTTGCCCTATGCATACCACTCTCTTATAATTACTGTCGATGTGTAACTGACTTCATTAATGTCGTTGGATACCCTCCTCAGACCATCCTTTAGTAAAGTAGTTAGCTGTTTGTCTTCATGCTTGGCATTCCGACTAAATCGTATATTTTATTTCGGGACCTTATATCACTGGATGTCTTTAAAGAAATTGTGTAGGTTCAGTCAGGCTCCACTGTGTACATTGATTCCACTCGTCTTCCATCTTTCATAAACTGGCATTACTCCACAGTTCAAAATAACTCAGTAATAAATTATATATCCGGCAAACAAAAGTCCCCTCTACATATATCCGGAAGACAAAATGTGAACTGGACAGTCTATTAACTTTGGTAACAAACTACATAAATATTGATAAGTAAGAGATACCATGAGAAAATGGTATACAAATTAGAATTTATGAAATGTCCATTTCTCCATTCCAGGCCATCAACCTTGAGTAGGGGAATCACATTAGATAGCCATCACAGTTATGACTGAAGCAGAAATATGGGTACAGCTGAAGTATAAATAGAGCCGTTAATGTTATGGTCGGCAATTTGTAGTCAAGGTCAAGGAAGAACAGATACCTCCAATCACTAGCAGTCTCATCCAGTGACTTGGGCAATGCTTTGTGACGCACTCGGTGACAGCAAGAATAACAAAAACACAAATGCGCTATTGGATGGAAGGGATTAGTATTAGTCGTGGCTTCCAACGCTAAGACGGCTGCTGCTACCGTATGAAATACCAACGTCAACTGTGGAACTTTGTTTGGGGGTTAAAGTCCTCGCAACAGTTACTAAATTAATGATGAGTGCCTAGAGAAAAACCGCCGTAAAGAAAGAGTAGGACAGTGAGATAATAAATTATGTACATCCCAAGGGTTGGGGGCAACTTATTAATTATGGTTTTCTTCGATGTCTTCTGAGCAGAAGAAACCACAAGGACCTGAGAATTTGTAACAGCTATACTTGGACCCAAGCTAAGGTGTTCAGAGTTATTTTACCTGTTTTAGAGGTTTAGATCGACGTTTGGTAAAAATGCAACCCCATGCAGTGATGATATTTATATGTATATGGACATCATTGGGGGTGGCATTTTTACCGAAAGTTGAAAATTACTCTGAACACCTTAGTTTAGGTCCAAATATAGCTGTAACAAATCCTCAGATCCCTGTGGAAGAAACGACCGATTCTACAAGGGAGCACATGTACATTAGTCGCTTCTCACGACAGCATGTAGCGGTATACACCAGAAGGCCTATTCTCCCCCAACCTGTAAGGTTATTCATCAGTGGAGGGCTTCACGATGATGCTGAAATGGTATCTGAGGAAGAAACTTGGAGTTTCATCAAGCTTCACATAAGTTGGCCCGTACAACAGTTAAACAGAACTTGACGTACAGCCATATTGAAGTAGAACGACGATGAATTCATAGTGGAGAAATAAAGGCTGGTTGTTATGACGCTGAGGGACTTCGGGATACATAGATCAGTATGACAGGAATACAGACAAAAACAACGAGGAGGAAACAGCAAGCACTGCGGCTTGGAAAGCAGGGAGTATGCTCGAGGTGAAAAACAAGGGCTTGCTTTCTTCTATTTTCAGCAGTGGGAGAAGGCAAGCACCCATTAAAGACCACAATAACAGCTTTACCATTAAATTTGCAAAAAAGTCAGGTTTGTGACAAATACCCAAATAAAATGGCCAAATTTTTAAGTAAGAGTTTTAAGGGGAAATCGCCAAATATTTCGACCACTAAAATAACATGCAAACGCTATACACAGGCATTGTTTGTCAATGTATGAATAAAAAAAAAATACGACACGCAGGAAGTATATACAAGCAAAGAAGTAGAAACGACAGTGCAGACAAAGGATTTGTCAAACTCAGGACAATCCGCCCCTTTTCAAGACAGAAACATGAACGCTTGCATATCCCAACATATAACTTGGCAAAGACAAACAGTCACTATGAAACAATACCACAACATTAAATTCAAACCACAATCCAGTGTCACATATCCCCTCGGTAAGCTTGTAACCACAGTGCTAATTATTGTAAAAAAATGCAATAACATTATAACAACAGCATTTTTCTTAAGTGAGGTCTGTTTCCACAATGGTAATCTGTCGGCAGTTGAAAGTATTAAATTTTGTGTTTGTCATATCGAAATATAATTGTTACGCTTTCAATTTTATTCTCATGAAACGTATCGTGTCGTGTATGTTTGTTTAATGAATGGGACAACCTTGTTCCAGGGAGGGTCAATGATACCACGGACTAAGATCTAATCTAATTCCGTGATGATACGTTATCAAGTTATCAAACTCTTTTGTGCTAAAGCAGTGGAAAAAGAAAGGCGATGAGATGTGGCCTCATTTGCATACAATACTCGAGTACGGGTGGGAAACTACAAAAAGACTTGGTCAGGAATGACATGTATTAACATTTTTGTTTCAGGTAGGCGAGACCGGGACGTGTTCGGTCCATTTTATTGTAAGTCGTTCTGGGCAGTATATCAATTCATCTGTATATGCCTTTCATGAAATAACAACAAAAGAGAAAACACGTCCGTATTTGAAGAATCATTTAACTATTTGTGTCGGAGGATTGGATAGCTGAAGTTCGGACAGGCAGTCTGGGGTAAGTCCGAACCTACCCCAAATTGATAGTGCAATAAATTCTTGTATTACAGCAATACGAAAGTCAATATGCATCATGTGAAGTTGTCAGTGTGTTACGCGCATGCATGACATCAATTCGGTTTACAGAAAGTTCGCAAAACTAGAAAGAAGTGAGGTCATGGTTTTCTCAGTTCTACCAGAGACGTATAATACATGTATTATACGTCTCTAGTTCTACCCTCCCAAAAGTAACTTCTCCATTTAGTAATTATATAATTGAGTTTTCCTTTTTCGCTCAACCAACTAAATCCTCAAAGTTGTAAATATTTGCTATTTTTTTTATTTAGTTTTGTCAAGGTACAGACGATGCCAAACCATATTAAATATCCTCGTGTAGTAATACAGCTTAAGAAATGACGGCGCGGAAATATATAACGCGCGGAAACCTATTACAACCCTCATGTATAAAGATGCATGTTATGTTAAACATTAGGCCTATGGCCGACTTTATGGAGAAAAAAACTTAATTAGTTTTTAAATGCTGTTATTTTCGAAGCTTTCAGTGCGATTTAATAAATTCTTAGACTGGATTATTTTCGCTAGCCACGGTTACGATCCGGAACGATCGGACCGGATCGTAACCCTTGGCTAGCGAAGATGAGACTGGATTGGCTGACGTATGTAGTTTGTCTATTGTCCGCCAGGCAATCCAATGAAACTTATAACCAATCGGAAATCGTCGGCACTTTCCGTAAACGATTGAGAAATCGTTTACGGAAAGTGCCGACAGTTCCCGATTGAAACTTTTCCTGTTTATGACGTCATCATTGTTTGTGTATAGCAACCATCGATTGCGAGCGCAAAGTTGTCACTGAAGTTTACGAGCGGGAATCTTCGTTTTGCGAGAAAAATTGTAGGCCTAAGCTTATCACGTCAATAAATTGTAAGTATGCATACAGTGCCATGTTTATCTTCGATTGGGACAGTAAGTTTGGTTGTTGTCATTTGACAGAATTTCTGCTTCTGAAACCCTAGGCCTACTCACAGGGTCAGGGGTTCGTTACAAATGTCTGAGATACCCAAATGCTATGGGTCACAGCACACATAAATGTATTCCTCTTAAAATTGGATTTTTTTGCCATTTTTTTTTTGCCTACTCACAGTGAGTACTGATAATTCCAAAGATAATAAGTTAATAAATGTCCATACTATTCTTTTATTCAATACGTCTATTAAACGAACGTAAACGTGTGCATAAAATATTATGCAACTAGAATAATCACACTTAGCACACATCGATTGTGAAAATACTTTTTGTGTTACAAAAATACTCTGATGCCTGTATGCCATTACGTAATAGAATGTACATTTGTTTTCTCTGCTTTCTGCAGATTATAATGACTTACTTAGATGAATTCGAGGCCATAGTGCATGAAATGTGTGTGGACGTGACAAGAGAGGCTATTGCAGAAATTGATGCAGGTGAGTCACTGTCACTGTTAAGGTTGTAGATGTTAGTATTGAAAAGTCATTGGTACTATCCCATTTACATTATAAAACATGCTAATAAGTCATTTATTTCAACCGCAATTTTAGCAAATAAATAAAAATAACAAGGAACTCCATGTTTTATTTTTTACTTCTCCATTTTTTTTTGTTTAAACATATTTTATTGCCAAAAAATGCANGAGAGAGAGAGAGAGAGAGAGAGAGAGAGAGAGAGAGAGAATGTTACTTATTCATTGCAGTTTATAAATTATAATGTACATCTCAATATTCAACATATAATGCACACATTCATTCTTACTTTTATTTACAAATTATGGTATATTTTGAAATTTGGTCATGAAAATGGAACCATCCAGCACAGTCAGCGCAGTGATATCCTGGCACTATTCCATACTTTCAACTATTCAACAGTTCGTCACGTCCCGTGCTTTGTGTCTTTCTCCTTTTCATTCCATCCTTTCTCGAAAATTCGTTTCTACCGCACTGGCTGTAACTGAATGGCCCATCACATGCCTATTTTACATACATTCAAGCACACGCACACTTCTTGCATTCACGCTCTCGTGCACTTAAAAGAAAGTTAAACATTACAGAGGATTACTAAAATAATAAGGAACACACAAGTGTACGTTATGCCATTTTCTCCTACATATAATATATCACTGAAGGATGGGCTTTTTCTGAAGCAATAGTCTTTATAGAAACAAATAAAATGTCAATCACATATTGTAACAGACATTATCTGAAGCAATAGTCTTTAAAGATTCATTATAACAGGCTTTGTACATTTTGATACAGGGCACTGATCAACTCAAACGTGGAAGTGTTTATGTGGATGTTTTTAATTGCCTCCTTTTATTTAAACTTTCTTTCAATCCAATTACCGTTCTTCAAACCTCAATAAATTTAAACAATATTCAATTCACTATTCTTAAAATCAGTCATACTGTAATAATCAGTTTGTATCACCTGTCCATCTCCACCACTGTATAACTATCTGTATATATGTGTTACATGCTGTAACCGCAATGGTAGAAGACTTATGTAGGTTATGCCTGTTGTGTAATCCCTTAGTAATTGTTTGAATAAATTAAGTATGCTGAATTAACATATATTTTGGATACTATATTGAATATATGATTTCTATATTTTCTGTTTGGTTGTTTTCTTTCTACAGAGAATATGAAGGACAAAACAGCTGAGCATTCTCCAGAACAACTACTTGTTTTAGGTAAGCTCTCCAGCACAACTACTTGTTTTAGGTAAGCTCTCCAGAACAACTACTTGTTTTAGGTAAGCTTTCCAGAACAACTACTTGTTTTAGGTAAGCTCTCCAACACAACTTCTTGTTTTAGGTAAGCTTTCCAGAACAACTACTTGTTTTAGGTAAACTCTCCAGAACAACTACTTGATTTAGGTAAGCTTCTTTTGTATCTGTATCAAAGGAAAGGCCTCAATCTTGAGTATAAACTTCCGGGTTGGAGGAGTGCATTTATGGTTTAGGGTGATTTCAGTCTTTGTTTAAAGGATTCCACGGTTTCAGTGCACACAGTGTTCTTGGGTAGGGAATTCTAGTCTCGTTGTTCGTTGAGAGAATGAGTTCCTATAGGGGTCAGTGTTGGTAACTTGCTGTTTAAAGTTCAGACTGTTTTTAGTGTCCACTCGTGTATTTATGTTTGGATGTAGATGATGGTCCACAGGTATAGCCACTAGTCCCTTTTGTGTTTGTATCAAACCAGAAGGCCAAGAAAGGGATTGCTTATGTTCATACAGTGTTGTAAATAAATCTCAAAATTGGTACAGTTTGAGGTAAAAATGCTTCAACTATTTTAGAGACATCATTAAAGTCTTGTTGGTATATTAATAGTGAAATGTTATACATATTGATAGGCCACAGAAAGCTACACTTGCCACGGCTGTGCCTTGGTCCTGCCAACAGGACTGAGATTTTCCCTTCTAAGTGGAGACAATTCCTTGCCTCACCCAAGACATGTAAGTGTATATCTGTTTGTATCAGATCTACTTATCTATTTTGGTTATTACTTACCATACTCTGTATTGGTTATTATAATCAAACATTTATATGACTTAAAATTGATCCCTGAATGAAAACATTATTTTTGTCGATCCAAATGTAAAAAGAAAATTTCTATAATTTAATGAACACATTCACCCTGAAATTCCATAATGAACTATTCCAACCTTTGAATTGGAAGAGTTCAAATGTGTTTTCAGTGGTGAATGAGTTTAAAGTCTTTTTGGATGCTTACCCAGGGATGTCTATTTTTATGTTATCTGATATATATATTAAATGTCAAGAGTAACTTAGAACTTCACTAAAATGAAGTAGTCATTTTTGTCATTTCTTTTATATATATTTCTTTATTTTTCTTTATGAATTTTTATTTAGGATGTGGCCTGAAATACAAAATATGCAATTTAACTCACAAATATAAAGACTGCAAAATCACTGTCAGGACAAAAATTTTGTCATTCTATTCATCGTTTGGTAAAAATACATCATTAGTTGCAATGTTTAAGTTGATATATTTATATATATATGTCTGTTTGAACAGGCTGTGATATTTCAACCCTGCATATGCGTGATGTGTCAATGACCAAGAGCTGGGTACAGTGCTCTCCTGAATTGGAGGATCAGGAACTTCGCCAGAAACACAAAGAACGTGTTAATTCGTGGAGAAATCTTCTCATCACCGACAAGAACGGTAATATTATCATTTGGTAAATGTTTATTGTTCAACGCTATTAATGATAATTTTAACTGAAATGATATCAATTCACGTGTCTCAGGTAACAATGAAAGAATGCAAAACAAATGGTTGATCTTGCACCAAAGTCAAGTCTGTGAACTTATGTGATGGTGTGTCATTTGTCTTTTTTTTTTCTAGAAATGTCTAGAAAAAAACATACTTTGCCTGGATTCAATGATATTTGCCATGATGCTTGCTGATGTGAAGGGCTATTAGTCTTTGTTCCAAGAAATGACCTTTAAATACATAGATCAAAGGAATTAGTTGTGTTCAAAACTTCAAACAATTTTAACAAACTGAGAACCACCAGGCATACACTATACAGTAATGATATTTCACCTATTGATTGCCAAGTGAAAGGCTAAAAGATTTGCTCAGTTTCAAAGTAATTGTGTTCGGAGTCCATTGTGTCAATTTTAAAACATTTTCTTCTAAGGAAACATGATGAGGCCATGAACAATGCTAATGATGGAGTTTTGGATAGTCTTTTTGGGATGATCTTGATCCCTAATCAAGTTTTGGTCACTTCATTAGCCCCTGTGTTTTATTTGTATATATTGTTGTTTGATCGTACTCTACTGTAGATTTATTTATTTTTTTATTTTTCATGTATTTTAATGACAACTAAACTTGATTGTTCTTTTTCTTTCAGAGCCCTACCTTCCAGGTGTGTTCAGATACAAAGCCACAAAGTCTCTGCTAGACCACATTTGCCCAGTAAGTTGTAAACACCTCTGACACTGTGCTTCAGTGAGAGGGCCTTGATTTGGTTGACAGTTGTTGGTTGGCACCAGAGAGGGTTCTTCACATCAAACCTTTTTTGATGAGCAAAATTTTGTTTTTATAATAACAAAGCTAGGGTGTATACTGGAGTTGAGCAGAGTTAGAGAGTATACTGGAGTTGAGCAGAGTTAGAGAGTATCCTGGAGTTGAGCAGAGTTAGAGAGCCTACTGGACTTGAGCAGAGTTAGAGAGTATACTGGCGTCAAGCAGAGATAGAGAGTATACTGGAGTCGAGCAGAGTGAGAGAGTATACTGGAGTTGAGCAGAGCTAGAGAGTATACTGGAGTCGAGCAGAGGGAGAGAGTATACTGGAGTCGAGCAGAGTGAGAGAGTATACTGGAGTCGAGCAGAGGGAGAGAGTATACTGGAGTCGAGCAGAGGGAGAGAGTATACTGGAGTCGAGCACAGTTAGAGAGTATACTGGAGTCAATCAGAGTTAGAGAGTATACTGGAGTCGAGCAGAGTTAGAGAGTATACTGGCGTCAAGTTGTCTGTCATGTTGTTTCAACCATTTTTTAAACTTTAAAGAGTTACAGTTCTTAATGTGATCATTTTTTGCATGAAGCAGAATCTTTTGTCTAAACTATTCCTCGTTAAGTAGGCCATCTATTATTATAGTTTATATAGTTGTCGACACCAGTGGAAAGCTTAGGGTAGCTTCTTGCGGCGCATTTTAATGTTCCTATACTGATACTTGACTTACGGTGCATATTGATATGAAACTTTCTGCTTGTTTTACCCTCTATGTAAACCTGTTTATTTGTGACCTCATGTTATGTCCTAAAGCGATCTGATTAAAACCAGAATTTTTAATTCCACTTTGATGCTCTACGTTTAAGTCAACTGACTGAAATGTAGAGTATCAGAGTGAAATTAAAGATCTCGTTTTAATCAGATTGATTCTTATAAAGCCTTGCCCAGCCTATTTTAACAATATTAGATGGATTTCAACAAAACTTTCAAAACTCTCATTAGCCTATACATGTTTAACCACCTTGTATTTTAAAGATTTGTGGCTCCGCCATATCAAATTAATGACAACTCATTCCATGCATTCCTAATTGACATCAAATAAAATTCTGCATTAATACACTCCAAAGCAACCCGCTTCAACCATGAAATTGAAATAGGCAGAATAAGGTATTGCAGGTAGCAACAGCCACTGAATATGCAGGTTATTACCTTGGTGATAGCCTCCAGATAAGGCTAACATTCAAATTGCTACCAAGAACTAGAGACCTAAATGTTTAAAAATCTGTTACCAAAAAAATGTTACTTAAGATTGTTATTCTGTTTTCTATATTTCTGCAGATCATGAAAATGAAGCTGAACAACTTCTTTGAGATTGTTGATCTGAAGGACATCATTCCCAAGATCATCATTGACTCCTGTGAGGATGTTGTAGACATCACATCAAAAGGCAACTGGAAGGAAGTCTCAAAAAACCCACTTGGAGACATCATTAACAAGCAGAGATGGAACGGATTTCTCTGCTGCTTTCAGAGATAAATACTTTGAGCAACAACTTCTGTGAACTGAAGTTAAACATTGAAAAGTCATCAGAGGTTTACTGAAAGAACTGAATGTTACATACAGAAAAAATCTCATATAATTGAGAGAAATATATAGCAAATAGAAAAAATCAGCTCTAATTTTTGAGTTTAAAAGTACATGTGATGCATTTATATTTCTAATTAAATGGTAAGAAAATGACAATATAATTATGATAGACCCAGAGTATTTCAGTTTTAAGATAATTTATTAAGGTGTCCACAGTACCTACAGTGCTTGAAATGTACATCTTTTATAACCTTTATCATTCATTTCATAATTGCTTCTTTACACCATGTGTGTAGTACATTCTCCCCATCCCGTTTTTTATTGCGAGTATGTAGGGCAGTTATACTTGGCTACATTGATTTTTTTATATATTAACAACGTGCACAAATCCAAATCTTCAAGTTTTAGAATGTTTAACTTTACTCTAAAGTTGATATGAAATAAATAGGAATTTATGAAAAATTTATAATACATCATGTAAAATCCAACCTTTCAGACAAACAGAAGTACAGTTACCATTACCGCCAACGTACTAATTAATCCTGTTTTTACATAGTTTTATTCTACCTTCGGGAATTAACATTCTTTTCAGCATATTTTAAACAGATTGTAAAATATAGTATGGTAAAAAAAAAAAATTACAAACAAATAAACATCTTGCCAAACATTAATACATTGTATCAAATGTACAGTGCATTTGTGAAGTAAACTTTTGTAACAAATACTATTTACTAATTAGTAAATTACAGAAATGTTTCAATCAACACTTCATAATGATGTACAATTTACCTAATATATTTAAAAGTTCATAAATATAAATATTATTAATGTGATACCTTTTTATATTACTTTGTAACTTCATACATTCAATTATTCTGAATATGTTTATTATTTGTTCTGGTTATTGCATAGAAGTTACACTTTTACAATCCAATTTTTATTAATTGTTTGTAAAAATTATATATATATAAATGTACTGTTCATTATGTACGGGTTATTTTTAGATATTTCTTACAAACAATATTTATATTATTTATAATGTTATTGCTTGTTACTTAACTGAATACTGTAACATGTTTGTTATATCATTTACATGAAATATATTTTCACGACATGTTTAAAAGAATTGTCCATCCATATTATTGATTTTCACAGGTTATGTTGTACATTTATAAAAACTCATTCAACTGCGTACATGAATTTCTTTGTACATCTTTGTTACTTGAAGTCAATTGCTGTGAAGAGGGAAGAGGGAAATTAGCATAATGGCATACACAAAACTGTGCACAACATTGCTTGGAGTAGATGGCAAGGTGCCACATAGCCAAATCTAAAAACACTAATTTAACAAACAGTATTTTTCATTAAAATAGACAACTTGTAAATATATTGGTTATATTTATTATCTATCATTTGACTTCTCCGTCTGCGTATTGCAGAGTTATCTGCTCTTGTGAGCAGGTATTGATTGTTACGTCATTGGTTTGTGAGAGTAACGTCATCAATTTTTGAGAAAACGATGTAATTTTCTCGCACAAACCAATGACGTACCAATCAATACCTGCTCACAAGAGAAGATAACTCTGCAATATTCAAAGACGGAAAAGCCAAGCGGTCAAATATGCAAGAAAACGTCTAATTTCCTTACATATTCTTGCAAATATCGAGCGGAAATACAGTTTGATTTTTTAAAGTAGTTTAACAAGGTGTGACTTTTGAAAGACGTTGTGTTTAACTAGAATAACAAGATATGTTTTAAACTTTTCTTTTACCAGTATTTCAAACACAGAAATTGCAGGCGCTTAAAGTCACAAAATGACACAGATGTGACTAATACTTGTTGAATTTTAAATCTTTAAACACAATATCATGCAAGGATATTTTCTATAAAAAATGGGATTGCATTTTCATTATATGAAACAAATTTCAACAAATTTCTCAAGCCTTTATCTCTCTTATCTTCAATAAGATTCATAAGTTTGGAAATATGTAAAATCAAAGTTTCACTTTTATGTTTCTCAGGGAACTTGACAACCGCCTTGGCATTTTGACCTCATTGACAGAATCTGATTTTGATGAATTATCATACACAACTGAGCCATCAGAAGGAGATGTGGCATGAGCTGCTTGGAATCATCCATTCAAGGTCACTAATTGAGGTCATACAATGTAGCAGTTCCCGAAAATGTATTTTTTCTTATTTCCAGTACAGAATATATATTAATGGAAATTTCTAGACATACCAGTCTTAACCAAAACATGTGGACTATCTTAAGAACTTTTATCCTAAGGTCAAGGTCAAATGTTGATGTCAAATGTGCTTGCCTAGAGTCTAATATTTTAACTGATGAGGAAACCTAATAGCTACAGATGGGCCCGTACAATACACAATTTATGTACATGTATCTGCAGGTGGTTTATGAGAAGTTCTTTTTACACAACTTCGACATCGACTTTATGGACAACTCGTTCACATTTTACTCCTTTGTGTGCATACGCTTCACTGGTTATTTGTCTGATGAAGGTGACAGTGTACATATCGTACTAGTCATCGAAACATCACATACAAAATTGTATTGGTTGTGTAAAAAGAACTTCTCATAATCCATACTTACCAACCTAAAGAAAATGTTTAGAAATATCTGCAGGTGATATACATTGAGATAGTGGTTTTTTATGTCTGCAATAAATAACACAATAATGAAGGTTTTGAAGCATTCTTTTTATTAAAAAGTATTAATGTCATTTAACTATCTTAACATGTACATTTGATTTAATATCTAGGCACATGTCCATCATACATGCATTTACATAGTACATAACATCTGTACCATTGTACATGTAAACAATGAGCTACTGTATATCACATGAACATTCTGCATTTAAATACTCTACTATCCTATATACAAAATCTATTTTTAAAATAAATATCACAGGAATGTATCTTGTAGAAATGTACAATAAATTTGCCATCATCTGGCACCCCCAGTGTTAACAACGTACATCTGTCATCCCAGGTCTAAGCGTATAAATATATATATACATGTGTAAATGACCAATTCCTATTTATGCATATGTTAATAACTTAATGCCAATAACAATATTCTATCAAATGTAAACAAACTATAAATTAAAGATTATGGACATGAACTCAAACTAATCCATTGGAAATAAAATGTATATTAACTCATTCACCCCTGAAGACACATTTGAACTCTTCCAATTCAAAGGTTGGAATAGTTCATTATGAAATTTCAGTGGTGAATGAGTTAATTTTCATCCTTAAAGGACCAATGCCTCGGATGGGTGAAGTATGAAGCTGTTTCCATCTTGGAACTTATTGACTTTCTGTTCCTACTTTGATAATGTCATCTACAATTTAAGACATCGGTAACACCATACAAGTTTGATTTCAGTTTGGTTAAAACTCCTAGAGAAATGGACTAAATACAAAATCAAAAAACAAAAATCAAAAATATTTTAATTAATTATATAATGCACCTTTGTTTGAACCTGTAAACCAGATTTAACTTGATTTTGTCAAACGACATAAGGAATGTATATATTTTCAGTATTATTGGTGGCAAATCAGCAGAGATCTTCAGAGGAGTCAATAAGAAATTTGAGATGAAGTCAGGCACTAACGATTTCCCCATTATCAGTAATTTGTTATTATATGGTTCTTTAAAGTTCTAGCTATATTTAAATTGAGAAACACAACATACATCAATGACTAGCAAGTGCACAAGTGATTTTTTGAAAGTATGTATATATAAGCTGCTAAAATAAATACAGACATATAGTTAAAGGTAAAAAAATAAATTATACTTCAAGGGAGACAACTTCTTAAGCCAATCAAAGATAGGTGATTTTGGTTTGTTTGTGTTTTACATCTTATTAACACCAATGCTAAGGACGTGCCTGGTTTTGATGGTGGAGGAAAGCCGGAGTTCCCTGAGAAAACCCGCCGACCTACGGCCAGTACCTGGCGACTGTCCCATGTAGGCCTTAAACCTGCTACCCAGTGGTGGAGGGCTAGTGATAGCAGAGTGTCAGATGCCTTAACCACTCAGCCACTGCGGTCCCCCAAAGATAAGTGATACCTTAAAGCTTACTATGACTGAAAATATTCAGCATTAAAAATATTTCTTTTTATATGTTGAAAACATACCTTGCACAGAATGCTGCTTCCAACATAGAAGTGTTTTTTTTCAGATTTCACTTCACATATGTAATCATGATCCATAATAAATATCTAAATCAGATGGCTGTATATAGGATCCTCAGGAAGTCACTTTCTGTTTTCAATGGCCTTCAAAAACACCTTAACACAATAGAAAGTCATCAAGTGAAAATTGAGCTACACTAAAAACAGGGAAGACCAATTGTTTGTGGTACCAAAACTCGGATCCCTCTATCCACTAGAACACAATAGATAAAGGGTGGAAATCAAAATACATGTACATTTAAATTCACAGTGTTTTTTTTTTTAATTAATGAAATATGAATTTGTTAATGATAAAAATGGTTTCCTACCAATGGGAATATATATCATATGTTTTTTATGATCTGGATGATTTGTTCAATTTAAAACAAGAAAATAATCATAAGGCACAACCATTAAGCATCACATTTTGTAAGAAAATCTAGACTTTTGTATATAAAAAATTACAGTATAAATAGAAGCCAACCAATGACTAAATATAGAGGTAAATATTTCTTATAGACATTTAAACTAGTATTCTAAAAAAGAATGGTAAAACTTACAAGTTAGATATATATGGCAGTGGATGACTGAGAAAAGGCTTATTATAAGATGTAAACATATTGAACTTTTTAATGCCAATTTCATTCTTGTTATAAAACCCAGCTTTAATTCATCATCATGATTCAGCTACAAGTCAAACATAATGATGCTCATTGATGGCAGTTCCATGCTTGTCAAACCCATCTGTAAAACAGGTTTACTTTATAGTTGATAATTTTTTGTGAGTAATTTAATTTTGTGAATTGAAAAAAAATACATAACAATTCACAGCTTAATTACTTTAAATACTAAAACAAAACTGTGGGTATCTGAGGATGACTTTCAGACTACATGGAAATGCCACAAGTTACTTTATCAAATCAGTTTTGTATCATTTCATGTTGTGATTTCAATAGCAATAACATATGCCATTTACAAACTAGGATGTCACAATTGTGTATGGTACAATGAGGCATTACCTATCAGCGAATTCCTTAGAAAATAGTTACTCATTTGTATTCAAAGAAAGACATTTGTGATGATCAATCTTATCTGTATATTGCAATAACATGTTCTTGTAGTGCTGAGTACATGAAAATGTATTGTCAAATTAGTTCTAGGATTTGCTAAATAAAAAATCAGAAAAAAGGCATACTCAAAAAGTTTCAACCTAAAAATATTGTTATGACGAAAATGAGAAATAATTCAAGCACAATAAATAATCAGAAAAATACTTGAAAATGAGAGACAGCAGAAAAGCTAGCACCTGGTTAGATATCATTATCGTGTTATCGGTACTATGAACACCAAAAGTAGAATCTGGATAGTCAACGTAGTCATACAAGTATAAAACTAAAGGAACTAAACACCTCTAAGTGAAATATCAGATATATCGCACCTGAAATTGATAAAGTGCGGCAAATTCCCTTAGATTAATGATAAAACTCATAAACAAAAACACTTTGGTTAAAAATAAAAGGTTCAGACACATATTTCTGGCCATCTACAGATAAACTACAGTCCAGACTGCAAGCAGGCAGATCCTGACTAGTCATGACAACATTTTAAATGTATCTATGACTTGTTTTTAATTTGTTCAGCAGTAATAGATAAGATCTTTTCTTCCAAGACAGTTTTAACAAATACAATAGAAGTTTTCCGAAAGAAACATTATATATAAGTTGTAATTTCTCATAATAATAAGAAATTTTTAATGTATTGCTACAAAAGTCGTTTCAAAACAGTGTTATGACAGCAAATTGTTATACTCTCTAGATCTCCTCATTTGCTAGCACTATCATCATGCAAAATTAAGAAAATCCAATGGTTATCTCCCCTTGTTATAAAAGTTTTTGTCAAGGAACTTCTTTAAAGTACCTTGTGGGATGTCAATGGGTTATGCTTATATATTGGAAGGTCTTTTGAGTTGTTATTCGGTATATCTAATTTGATGTCATATATTTGTGTTGGTGGTTTCGAGTTCTTGTATACCAGACTGCTATGAATATTAAAACTTACGAAAATAATCATAACTTTCTAAGTTCACATATATCAAGATTGACAATTGATATAAAACATTTAGATTTGATTTATGACACAAACATTTATCATTCGATATTTTAGAGTCTATACACAATCACAAAGTAACAACTCCTAGAAAATTGCTGCATGTTAATAAAAGTAATATCAACAGAGTTGTCTACGAAATATGTTTACTTCAGGCCAATATGTGGGGTCCTGCCAGCTTCAATCTCTGATGCGTTGATGTTAAATCTCTAAATACATGTCTATCTTGTATTGTTGCCCGTCAATAAACACCAGACACATATCTAACTAAAGGAGGGTCTATACTAGTACTTCTGTGCCGAGTAGACATCTGACCTCGTTACCATCCATTTTTTGAGTATAGTTTGTGGAAGCAACAGATCAGTCATCCATAATCAGTGTGGTCTGATTTGTTTTGTCAACATTCTGAGGCTGGATCCTGCAATTATACAGAACAGAAACTTTAATTTACTTTGCAATGCATATCAAGTGAAAAAGATAACTGCTTAATTCTTGATTTATTAATTTCCTTTTCACCTTTATTTCTTGTCATAAAATGTTCATAAGGAAGTATGTACTGTTACTTATATTTAAGTAAATCGTTACTAATATTTGTGAATACTGTTTAATCTCATTATGTCAAATTTATCAGAACCATGGGAACCTTTTAAGAAAAGAATGTTTTAACCACAGACAATTCTGTCTGATAATTAGACTAGATAGGCTGACATTTGGTTATCTCCTGGCTTTAAGGTATTTTCCAAAGACAATCTATACCATCTAAAACTGTAGCTAGCCTTAAAAGTAGGTAATACATACAAGTACTTTCCCATCAATTGTTGTTTTTCACTGTTATAGGATATCCAAGTTTCTTACAAAGAAGTTTAACTAAAAATAAAATCTACTTAACATGTTGATCATGATTGTATGCATCTTTCTAGCTAGTCTTTGTGGATGAGGTATCAGTACATAGAGGTTCTCCTCAAGATCTTTAAAGTGGTCAATAATTTACCTGTGAACCTGTCCTGCTGGTAGCTGTAACCTGAGGAATGATACCCGCTGAGAAATCAGGATAACAGACGTCTACATGTGGTTCACCTGACACGGGAGGAACTGTCAGAAAAATATACATACACATTATATGTCATGCACTCAGTAACATTTACACGTCATACACTCAGTAACACTTAAACGTCATACACTCAGTAACAATTACACGTCATGCACTCAGTAGCAATAACAAGTCATACACTCAGTAACAATTACACGTCATACACTCGGTAACAATTACACGTCATACACTCGGTAACAATTTCACATCATACACTCGGTAACAATAACACGTCATACACCCGGTAGCAATAACACGTCATACACTCAGTAACAATCACACATCATACACTCAGTAACAATTACACGTCATACACTCGGTAACAATTACACATCATACACTCAGTAACAATTTCACATCATACACTCGGTAACAATAACACGTCATATCCCCGGTAACAATTACACGTCATACACTCGGTAACAATTACACGTCATACACTCAGTAACAATTACACATCATACACTCAGTAACAATTGCATGTCATACACTCATAATTCATACATACCATTCCTTACTGAAATATTAATATGCAATAACCTCAGACTCACATTGTTTTGCTTATGTGAGATTTAAACTAAATTCTTAAGATACTTAATGGTTATAGCACTGATTGTATTGTATATCAAGTACTTTTTACTGCTACCTGTAAAGACAATAACTCAGAGATGCCTTACTTGGAGCCTCTGTCTCCAGAAGGCTGTGATCAGAGGGTGAGCGGTGCTTTTTCTTTTTCTTCTTCCTGTCGGATGACTTTTCTCTACGTGTTCTAGGCGACAAAATAAAACAATTACATTAGAGATCGAAAAATGACTGAAAAGCTTTATGGTAAATGGTACTTTGGCAGAGAATCATTCTTATTCTGTAGTTAAATCACATATATTCAGTCATGCTGAAGGAGGGAACAATGTGAATAATGAGTTCTTTTTTTTCCAGATTTTTTTTATATCATTGTGTCATTTTCTGTTTACTTAAAAAAAAACATATGAATGCATTCATCTTGAACTGTTTGGTTTAGTGATGCCATGCATGCTACCTAAATCAGTGGTAGGAAGTTGATGGTTCAGTGATAACTTGTTTGAAGGAAGTCTGTAAAATTAGCTCATTTATCAATTTACTCAGAAAATGAGTTTTAGATATACACTGTTCCAGTGTACACAGAATTGGATTAAGAGTATTGTGCGATGTCTTTATTTGGTTTACCTGCTGTCTGTCAATATTGAAGGAGGATGATCCTCTTCCTCAACCTCCGTGAATCCTGTAACAGAAAGTCAATAGTTCATGGTTTATTATCCGAAAGATAAGATTTAAAATACAATAAAACCTCAATATAATGCTCCTTTTTTCATTTACCACCAGCATATTTCAATGTCCCTTTTTCTTGTTGTCTTCGAAATGCTTTTATATATTTCCCTCAATTCATCTACACACTTCACAAATGGAAGCAGTATAAAAAAGGTTTTATTGGAAAAGTTTAAAATTAAATGGCGATATTAAATAACTTGTACATACGCTAGTCATATACCTATTAAAAAATCTCCATGAAAGTCCAATCCATTCAAAAATGATTTTTCATGCAATTCCAATCTTGCAGCTTGTAGCTATATAATTTCAATGCTCTGTAGTTACCAGTCAGCCTCCTACAATGTAGTCGTCCTCAATGACCTAACTGTGCTTATATCCCATCTATGTTTCTTCTCACATGTTTTAACATGACTTGCATGTTTAATGTATTGTGGTATTGTAAAACCTGAACATTCCATCCCTGCAAGGTATAACATCTCTAGAAAATCCTGACTGATTCCTACCTTCCATCTCCTCAGGATTTCTTATTAACCCTACCTTCCATCTCCTCAGGATTCTCCTTATTAACCCTAAATTCTATCTCCTCAGGATTCCTTATTGACCATACCTTCTATCTCCTCAGGATTCCTTATTAACCCTACCTTCTATCTCCTCAGGATTCCCCTTATTAACCCTACATTCTATCTCCTCAGGATTCTCCTTATTAACCCTACATTCTATCTCCTCAGGATTCCTTATTGACCCTATCTTCCATCTCCTCAGGATTCCTTATTAACCCTACCTTCCATCTCCTCAGGATTCCTTATTGACCGTACCTTCTATCTCCTCAAGTTTCCTTATTAACCCTACCTTCCACATCCTCAGGATTCCTTATTAACCCTACTTTCTATCTCCTCAGGATTCCTTATTGACCCTACCTTCTATCTCCTCAGGATTCCTTATTGACCCTACCTTCCATCTCCTCAGGATTCCTTATTAATCCTACCTTCTATATCCTCAGGATTCCTTTTTGACCCTACCTTCTATCTCCTCAGGATTCCTTATTGACCCTACCTTCCATCTCCTCAGGATTCCTTATTGACCCTACCTTCCATCTCCTCGGGATTCCTTATTGACCATACCTTCTATCTCCTCAGGATTCCTTATTGACCCTATCTTCCATCTCCTCAGGATTCCTTATTGACCCTACCTTCCATCTCCTCAGGATTCCTTACTGACCCTACTTTCTATTGCTTCTATTTACTCCCAAGACATCCTCCCTGTAACTTTCTGCTATCCTTCCAGGTTTCCTTCCTCTAGACAACCACACTGAAACAACCATACATTCAATATCCTCTAGGTTATCTCCCCCAAGACATCCCCTGTGAAACTACCTTCCATCCCTGGCAGGTCACATCCTGGGATAATCCTCGCTTAACCTACCTTCCATTCCCTCCAGATTACCTTCTCCCCCACTGAAACTACCTTCCATTCCCTTCAGATTACCTCCTCCCCACTGAACCTACCTTCCATTCCCTAAAAATTACCTCCTCCCCCACTGAACCTACATGTACCTTCCATTCCATCCAGATTACCTCCTCCCCCACTAAACCTACCTCCCATTCCCTCCAGATTACCTCCTCCCCCACTGAACCTACCTTCCATTCCCTCCAGATTACCTCCTCCCCCACTAAACCTACCTTCAACTCCCTCCAGATTACCTCCTCCCCTACTGAACCTACCTTCCATTCCCTCCAGATTACCTCCTCCCCCACTAAATCTACCTTCAACTCCCTCCAGATTACCTCCTCCCCCACTAAACCTACCTTCAACTCCCTCCAGATTACCTCCTCCCCCACTGAACCTACCTTCCATTCCCTCCAGATTACCTCCTCCCCCACTAAACCTTCCTTCCATTCCCTCCAGATTACCTCCTACCCCACTGAACCTACCTTCCATTCCTTTCAGATTACCTCCTCCCCCACTGAACCTACTTTCCATTCCTTTCAGATTACCTCCTCCCCCACTGAACCTACCTTCCATTCCTTCCAGATTACCTCCTCCCCATCCTGACATCTGGAGGAGTAAGTTCTTGATAGTGTTCATGTCATGCGTGACCTTCTGTTGCATTTTCCTCTGTGAATCCTTCAGTTCAAGCATACTAATCTGTAGAGTCTTCACTTCTCTCTGTAGGGTTTTAGTGGTCACCAGACCCTCGTTGTCCTCTATACCCTGTGGAGCATCAGAAAATGGGTGATACAGGCTTTCTAGTATAGCCTTATTGGACCTAATGTTACAAATTCCATGTCATACCTCTTTTGAATGTTTATGCAGACATTCATATCTTGTATTATCAAGATATTTCACATGGAAAGTTGACCACAAATTGAAATATGTCTTAACTCATTCACCCCTGAAATTTCATAATGATATTTTCCAACCTTTGTGTTGGAAGAGTTCAAATGTTTTTCAGGGGTTAATGAGTTAATGTAAGTAAACAAGAGAGTTTAGTGTGTACTGCATGCTTCATGGATATTTTCTGCCTCAAGAATGTAAGATATAATCGTGCAGATTTGTTGCCAGTCTGACAGAGGAATACTGACAATAGTTTACACAAGTTAAAACTTCAAAAAATAACAAAATTCCAGAAAAGAAATCATACAAAAACTTACTGTAAAACTTGACAGTTAAGAATTTTGTGCCTTTGATAATTTCACAATTCTTCCAAATTAGTTGTTGAAGTGCAATTAGGAAAATTTTAATACTGACTCAATAAAAATACAAATAAACTAGTATGAAGTTTTGATTTAATAGCCTAAATGTCTTTTTTCAATGTCCCGATGATACTGTAATACAACTGTACCATGTAGCAACATTCTATTTCAAAATACGTTACCACAGTCATTATAATGCATATTCCAACCTTACTTGGCTCTTTACATACGTAAATAAAGAATTTTTCCCCCCATGGGGAACCCCTGGGAAACCCACCAATCAGACGGCAGTATTCACGCACGTGATTTAAGACACGAAGCCATGCTTCCCACTTCATAATTCCTTCAGCCGGCCGTGTTTACGGACGTGTTTTGGTGTCTACGGGTTCCAACTACAACAGGCGTTGTTTGTACCCATACATTTACGTATCCTTTATAACTAGTTAACTTTATTTTGTTTTAATTAAGCTTTTTGCTTTGTTTTGCGCCGTTTTGCGACCAGGCTCCGGCCACGTGTTCGCGTTTTTGACGGTTTGTTTACGTTGAGATGGAGACTCCTCCTTCTCAAAGGCGCTGTCCTGGGGGTCATTTTTTTGAGGCTTCCGACCCCCACCCTTACTGTCCTGGCTGTCGGTCTTGCTCTCTGGAGCAGCCGTGTGAAATTTGCCGTGCCTGGCAGCCGACTCCTACCGGTGGTTCTCCCCGCCCGCGAGGGCGTGCAGGTAAGTCGGGTAGGAGGGGCGGTAGGGGTGGGGCGAGGGCTAAAGCTAGGCCTAAGCCCTCGGAGAGCACCAGCGGAATTCCGACCTCTGTCGAGTCTTCCCTGGGGTTCGTGTCGGCGGTTTCGACCCGTACCGGGGCCGCTGGGAAACAATTTGTTTCTTTGGACCCGCACCTTTCTCTCACCCCGCCTTCCGTTTTGTCGGTCGACGTGGGTGAGGGTTTGGGCTCTGTCCCGGTCACCACGGTGACTAGGGGACAGGGGGGCGGCCTTCTCTCCCAATTTGTGGTGGGAGGGCAGGTGGCCCAACATTCCCTTGGGAATATTAAACAGGCCAGCCATGTTGTGTCAGCGGATGCTTCTGTTGGTGGCCTCCTGCCGGTCCGCTCCACTCCTGAGGGTGTTGGTGTTGTCGGAGACCGGCCCCCGGCAGTTTTGTCTGCTCCCGGGGTTCCTTGCATCCCTGATGTAGCCCCTGGCGTGGTGATGGCGTCTAGCACGCCGTCCACCACTGTGCAGCATTTGCTGCCCGGTCCGGTGGTTAGTGATGCTTCGGCCTCGCTAGCCTCGGCTGGATTTTACGGTGGTGTGAGCACTGGTGTAAAAACCTATGCTTCCAGCTCTATCCCTTGTGCCTCCTCCCCAGGTTTTCCTATGGTAGGTGCCAGCGCAGCTGCGTTTGGTTTTGCCGGTGCACGCTGCTCCCCTGGTGGGGCTTGTTTTACTGGCCCTACAGGTTTTGGCCCTGCTGTAGGTCAGTCTGGGTGGAGTTGGTCAGGTCAGCCAGGTGTGGCTTATGGCGGCGGGTGTGTAGGTGGCCCTAGGTTCCCTACCCCGCCCCCCCAAACCGGTCCTGCCTCCGGTTTCGGGCATCAGGTTGGTGGCTCTGTTCCAGGGTCCTCCCTGGTTTATCCCACCTATTTGCAGGGTGGGAATGGAGCTCATTGGGGTCAACAGGCTCCTTTTTATGCTCCGCCCCAACCACCGACCGCCTATGGGCAGTCTTGGGGTTTCTCCCAGCAGGGGGCTTTTCCAGCCGCTCCCCCTCCACCCCAGGGTGGTATGGGTTTCCAGCCTGGATATGCCCCCCCCGCCTTCTTGCCTGCGGCGATGGGGCCCCCCCTCCATCCGCCACCGAGCCGTTCGCGCAAGCGTTCGCGCTCCCGGCCAGCTTCTGCTGCCGGTTCAGTCAGGCAGAGACCGCGTGATGCTAGGGCGGCTGGTCGTGCTGCGTTGGCTCGAGCTCCTATTTTGGAATTTGAGTCTACCAGTAACTTCCGCTGTCCGGTGTCAACTCCTACCTTACAGCAGGTTCCAGGGTCTTGTGGTCCTGCTCCTGCTGTTCCTCAGGGACTATCGATTGCCCCGATAGTTCCCTCGGGTAGGTCACGTTCTCTTTCCCCTCCTCGCACCCCTCCCCGGAGGGCGACGTTGATGGAGGTGGATTCGGCGGGTGCCTCTCCTAGTGATGAGAGGGACGTTCTTCGGGGCTCTCCTGGTTGCTCCAATTTTACGGAGACTCGGGATGAGGATAGAGTCGGCGAGTTTACTGACTCTGATTTAGAGTCGTTGGATTCGTCTGGGTTGGACTCAGAAGGCCCTTCTGATGTGTCCCAATCCCGGCCCCGAGATGCTGATCCGGTGCCTCCAGAGGTTTCGGCTTCATTTCGCACTTTACGTGCAGAAGTTATGAAGCTTCTGGGGGACGGGGTTTGCCCACGCCCTTCCACGGATTCGGCCGTCCCGGAGCGCACTTCGCTCCTTCAGAGCATGTTGCCTCCCCTAGCATCTGCCTCCTCGGCCTCTGCTAGGTCTCTTGCGGAGGGACGAGGCGTGGCTTCGTCCCTCGCTCAGGTCAACGCTTTATTAAAGCAGAAGGTGAGCAAGGCTCGCAAGCCTTTTTCCCTCTCGGCTTTACAGGTCGTGGTTGCGGACATCGCAGATTTAGCTGCAGATACGTACCGCATCCACGACCCAGTCTTGGCCCCTAATTCTGTTTCCCTTGAGAGGGATCTGGATAAGTGGCCGGGACGCTGTGTTGACCAGGTTGTGATGGGGCCTAGGGAGCACTCTAAGTTGGAGCGTCTCCTTAGGCTGGCTCTCCATGTTCTGTCCTACGCAGACTGGTTTACTTCTGCGTTGCTGGCTGCGAGCTGCAAGTCGGTGGAGCAGCTCCCCAGCAAGGTTGGACTGATGGAGCGCCTCAGCCAGGCAATTTGCAAGGCACATCTTGATGCGATGGCCTTACTGTCGGCTGCCATGTCACACCTTGTTGTTGCCCGCCGGTTGTCGGTCCTTTCTGGACTGCCAGTCGGCGATTCCTATCGGGCTACCCTTTTGGAGGCTCCCTTGACTGGCGAGGATTTGTTTGGCGGGGTCCTTCCCTCAGTGCAATCTGAGATGAGGTTGGACCCGTTTGCATCTGAGGATGCACGCCACAATTCCGCAGGCAAGGGCGCTAGCAGGAAGAGGCAGGCTTCTGGCTCCTCCAGGCGTAGGAGGAAGAGGGCAAAGACGACTGCTTTTCAGCAGCAGTCTGCCCCTCCGACTTCCGCTCCGGCAGAACGTCGGAAATCTTCCTTCCGCGGTAGGGGTTCCCATAGGGGTCGAGGCAAAGGCAAAGTTTCCAGAGGTAGGAAGGGTTCCTGACTCTTCCTTGCCCTTGCAAACTCCTTGTCCACTGTCTGTGGCCGCTCCCACGTCCTTGGGCGCGGGAGGCTCCGCCGAGGTGGTTTGGGAAGGGCTAGATTGGCCCCTTCCGGACTTGCCAGTAGGCGGTCGGCTGTCCCATTTCGTTCCTCAGTGGAAAGAAATCACTTCAGACAGTTGGGCCCTAGGGGTTGTGTCCAAGGGTCTCTGCATCCCGCTTCTTCGGGATCCACCTCTGGCGCGAGAGCCTATCTTTTTCCCTTCTCCTTCCGATCCGGGAAAGGTGGAGGCTCTCAGGTCAGAGGTTCAAGCCATGATCGCGAAGGGCGCGATCGAAGAACTTTCACGGGACCAGTGGTCTCCAGGGTTTTACTCCCGGGTCTTCCTCGTGAAGAAGAAGTCCGGTGCCTGGAGGCCTATTATCGACCTCAGTACGTTCAACACGTATGTCGATTCCCCGCACTTCCAGATGGAAACGCCACGGCGCATCATTGCGTCAGTGCGTCCAGGGATGTGGGCTACGTCCATCGATCTGAAGGATGCTTACTTTCACATCCCGGTCAGGAGGTCGGCCAGGAAGTTCCTCAGGTTCACTTTCGAGCAGAAGGTTTACCAGTTTCGCGCTATGCCCTTCGGCCTCACTACGGCCCCCTTGGTTTTCACCAAGTTGTTGCAGGTAGTAGTGGGGCACCTCCACAGTCTCGGGGTAGATGCACACATCTACTTCGACGACTCCCTGTTGCTCCAAGTGGATCCAGTTATCCTGTCCCGGAGCACGAGGTCGGTTCTGGGCGTTCTGTGCCGCCTAGGGTTCATCCCTTCCAGGGAGAAGTCGGAGGTTCTCCCCTCTCAAGATTTTGTTTTCCTCGGTTATCGGTTCAGAACCGATCTGGGGTTTGTCCTTCCACCAGTGTCCAAGTTCGAGAAGGCCTCTCTGTTGGTCTCCGTTCTGGTCGGTGTGGAGCGAATTCAGGTCCGATGGTTCCTTCGGTTCCTCGGTTACCTGAATTCATTGGCGGATGTGGTTCCCTTGGGTCGGCTTCACATCCGTCCGCTCCAGCTGTTCCTTCTGTCAGTTTGGTCTCCGGCGTCTCGACAGTGGGATGTGTACATTCCTCTGCCGGAGTCGGTGAAGGAATCAGCTCGTTGGTGGACTCTCAAGAGCAATGTCTTGGCAGGAGTTCCTCTGGTTCGGGCATCTCCTGCTATGACCCTTTACACCGACGCGTCCATGACCGGTTGGGGTGCATACCTTTCCGGTCAGACGTCGGCGGGGGTGTGGTCAGGGGAACAGCTTTCAGAACACATCAATGTTCTGGAAATGCGTGCTGTTCTGTTGGCCCTTCGGGGTCTTCGACCCTCCCTGCAGGGCAAGGCCATTTGTCTGGCTACAGACAACTCCACTGTGGTGGCTTATCTGCAGCGCCAGGGGGGCACCCGTTCCCCGGCTCTGTGTGCTTTATCCACCCAGGTCCTGTTGCTGTGTCAGGAGATCAGTCTCGATCTCACGGTGAGGCACCTTCCAGGTCGTCTGAATGTTCTGGCCGACACTCTGTCTCGGTCTCGGAGCCCGGTTCTCACCGAATGGACCCTCAAGCGTTCGGTGTTCCGGTCTCTTTGCCTGGTTTGGGACAGACCCCATGTGGATCTGTTCGCCACGGCCCTGAACTTTCGACTCCCTACATTTGTGTCTCCGGTTCCAGACCCTATGGCCATGGCGGTGGATGCTCTATCCCAGGACTGGTCGGGAATGTACGCGTATGCGTTTCCTCCCTTCAATCTGGTGGGCAGGGTGTTGGAAAAGATCCTTCTACACCCTTGTACTGTGTTGCTGGTTGCACCGCTCTGGCCTCGACAACCTTGGTTTCCTCTGTTGCTTCGGCTGTCGGTGGACTTCCCACGCAGCATCCCACCCCTGTGGGATCTGCTGTCTCAACCGAGGTCCCGACAGTTCTACTCGGGACCGGAACGGCTCCACCTTCACGGTTGGATGCTATCTCGGGAAGGCTCACTCAGACGGGCTTTTCTCGAGAAGTTGCAACTCGCATCGCAGGATCACTTAGACCTTCGTCTTCCGCCGTCTACCAATCTCGATGGTCCGCATTCGGTGATTGGTGTGTCGGACGGTCGATTGATCCAGTCTCTGCCTCTGTTCCCGTTGTAGCTGACTTTCTTTTGTCTCTGTTCAGGGACAAAGGTCTGTCTCCGGGAACTATTGCAGGCTATCGTTCAGCCATTGCTAGTGTGCTGGCTTTCTATGGTAGCAAGTCAGTGGGCTCGGACGCTTCATTGTCGGCTCTCATTAGGGGCTTCTACATTGAGAAGCCTCGTTCACGGCAATTGGTCCCTAGGTGGAATTTAGCACTTGTGCTAGATTCCTTGTTAAGGGCGCCATTCGAGCCCCTCCAGTCGACAGATCGGAAGTTTCTTACTTTCAAGACTGTGTTCTTGATAGCCTTTGCTTCCGGTCGCCGCAGAAGCGAGATTCATGCTTTCAGCAGATCTTCTTCTTGCCTTCGTTTTTCGGCTGGCCATTCTTCGGTCTCGGTGACCACTGATCCCTCCTTTTTAGCTAAGAACCAGGTTCCCGGTTTCACCCCAGGGCTTGTGGTTATCCCTTCTTTGGCTTCAACTCTGGATGGGGATTGTCCTGATCGCCTGCTCTGCCCAGTTCGGGCCTTGCGTTACTACTTGGCCAGAACAGAGGGGGGGGCGGGACACTCGTCTCGGCTGTTCCAGTCTCTCCAGCCCGGTCGCTCTGATATCTCTGCAGCGACCATCTCACGCTGGATTGTTCAGACTGTTCGAGCTGCGTATGAGTCGGCAGGGGATCAGTCCTTGCGGGTGTCAGGGGTTAGGGCTCATGAGGTTCGCGCTTTAGCTACTTCGTGGGCCTTATTTAATGGTTCTTCTTACGCTGAGGTCATGACAGCTGCTGTTTGGAGGGGTCATTCTACGTTTACGGAGTTCTATCTCCGATCTTTGTCGGGACAGTCTGACGGATTGTATTCTTTGGGCCCTCTTGTGGCTGCCCAGTCCGTTGTCTGTCCTCCCTCTTCTTTTGCATAAGCCTCATTATGTCTTCTCCGCGTGATCCGGAACGCTGGTCGTAATCAGGCTTTGTGTCACAAAAGGAAAGGGTATTTTGAATTTTTCCTCCGGGGGTATGGGTCCTATTGTTGGAACCCTTCATCGCTCCACGGAGACACCACTGCGGTAAGTCGAATTCGCATTATAATGACTGTGGTAACGTATTTTGAAATAGAATTGAGGTTTCTCTTGTGAAACCAATTTCTATTATAAATACTTACCACAGTCATTAGGTGAGTTCCCTCCCAGCCTCCCCTTGTCTCCTTGGCTCTCACTTTTTTGGGCTTTGGAATTATGAAGTGGGAAGCATGGCTTCGTGTCTTAAATCACGTGCGTGAATACTGCCGTCTGATTGGTGGGTTTCCCAGGGGTTCCCCATGGGGGGAAAAATTCTTTATTTACGTATGTAAAGAGCCAAGTAAGGTTGGAATATGCATTATAATGACTGTGGTAAGTATTTATAATAGAAATTGGTTTCACAAGAGAAACCTCAATTCAATTGCAATCATTACGACAACAAGGATTTAACACTGAGATGGAATTTACGATTTTTTTTGTTTTTGAAACTCTAGCATATCAGAAGAGATATCTTTCTTCAAATTTAAGATAACAAATAAGGAACAAGATTGAAAACTACTTACCTCACTGTTTTTATCAGAGCTGCCAGAGTAGAATTTCTGAACAAACATTTCCCTAAATTCATCGAAGTCCTCCTGTTAATACAACAGATGTACAGGACTTAATGGTACAGTTTTTAGTAAATCATAAATATTCAGGCCACATTTTATCATATTGAAACCAAACTGATGATTTTATTTGTACGGAGGTTTTAAATGTGACCAACAATACTAACCAGTCATCATCTGAGTGAATATTTTAGACAGATCAAAACTATCCCGATATATTTGTTAGACTTGTATGGGGGTAGAGGGGGGAGTGCTAATGCATTGATTTGTATTGTATGCAGATGATTGTACGTTAATTTGTATGGAGGTATTCATACCTAGATTTGCATGTTGAATAATCACACCTTAAGCTGTAGGTGGGGAGGGGGAGAGTCAGATCTTGATTAGTATGTGTGTGATCATACCTTGATTTGTAGGGTGTGTGATCATACCTTGATTTGTAGGGTGTGTGATCATACCTTGATTTGTATGTGTGTGATCATACCTTGATTTGTAGGGTGTGTGATCATACCTTGATTTGTAGGGGGTATGGGATCATACCTTGATTTGTAGGTTGTGTGTGATCACATATTTATTTGTAGTGTGGGGGGGGGGGGGGGGGGGGATCATTCTTGATTTGTAGGGTGTATGTGATCATACCTTGATTTGTAGGGGAGGGGTGATCATACTTGATTTGTAGGGGAGGGGGATCAGACTTGATTTGTAGGGTGTATGTGATCATACCTTTATTTGCAAGGTGAATAACCATACTTTGAGTTGTAGGTGGGGAGGGGGGAGTCATATCTTGATTTGTAGGGTGTGTGGTCATACCTTGATTTGTAGGGTGTGTGATCATACCTTGATTTGTAGGG